AGCCCCTCTAGGGTTTATGGTCGACCCTCCAAGTAAGGCTCCACGTGCTCATATGGTATTATATGCTTTGGCCTTCAAGTACCAAACCATTTACCATTTGAGTACATGGACCCTTAGGGTAAGATAGCCCTAAACCCTAAACCCTAAACCCTAAACCCTAAACGCTAAACCCTAAAATGCTTTGGGTTTTTGGTGTAATATTAGGTTCTAGTCACGAGAACCTAAGGATGAAGCAGGTCATCCAGCAGAAATGGCTAAATTCTAGGGTCTAGGTCTATTAGGGGTCGGAACATTTAGTAACCACTATTCCAGAAAAGTCCCACAATGGCTATACTTTGAGTCTAGGACATTTCAGGTGGGTAGTTACCGTTATAATATAGGAGCCGTATAGAAGCCTTATATACCCTAAACTCCCCACCTGTAGTTTCCTTTAGCTTCGCCCTATACCCTAAACCCTAAAGCCTAAACCCTAAACCCTTTTCCCTAAACCCTAAACCCATTAGTTTCCTTTAATTGAGATACACCGACTCTCTACTCAATTCTCTGGAGGCCCTGATCGCAGACACATGCGGGTCTCAAGTGGCAGGGTTTACAGGGCTGACGCAGGGGCCAGGGTTCGTTATGATGGTTTCTACATACAGTTCCATAAAAAGGTAGGCCTTTTTGGGTTACAGGTTAATGTAGGGGTCTGAATAATTACCTATACTACCTTGGGTTCCTTATTATTTTTATTACAGTATAATGGGCCCCAACACCCTATTCTAATTATTAAGGCCCCTACATTACACTATATGCGATGATGTGTGCAGGTTCAAAGCAGGGGCGCGTCGGAAAATCACTGTGGTACTCAGGAGCATCTAGCAGCTTCGAGCTCCCAACAGCCACGACGCATCAACTCACATCTTTGAGGTATGCCAAGACGGTTTCGGGTTTAAGGTTTAGGGTTTAGGGTCAAGCAAGGACTAGCCACATCAGGCGAGACGGACACGGGATACGGTGTAAACAAACCCAGTTATCACAAGCATGCTGTGTCTGGGGTTGATCTCAACTTTTACAAGCCCATGCCAACACGTCCCCAAAACCCAACAAGCCCGAAACCCTAAAAAAGTAGGCCACCCTTGCAAGAACCGTCAGACAGAACCGAACCGATCCTCCACGACGATGCGGGCCTGGCTTCTTGCCTGTGCGGTGTGGCACGCCGCGGCCGATGGAGAGGCCGAAGATCCCAAAGAGCCTTGGGGTTTAGGGTTTAGGGTTGTGGCTGTAACTGCCTACTATATTGGAAGGGTTTTATCAGCTACATTAGCGACATCTCCTAAACTGAAGGTGACTGTTCAAGGGATCAGAATAGGGTTTGGGATCTATTAGGCTATAATTGTAATAAGGACCCCCCCCAAAAAAAAAAAATATATATATATATATATACATATATATATATATATATATTCTAATTATCAAGCCATTAAAGCCCACCTTCAAAGCATTCCTAGTCTCACCAGCGTGACAGCTACAGGTTCAAGGTTTAGGGTTTAGGGTTTAGGGTTTAGGGTTTCGGGTTTAGGGTTTAGGGTTTAGGGGTTTCATCGGCTTGCGATGAGACTCACAGGGCCTACTGCTTTAAACCCTAAACCCTAAACCCTAAACCCTAAACCCTAAGACCCTATACACCTTTGTATGGGTTTGAGAAACTCAGGTTATCCTAGACCCTCCAAAGACCCCTCAACTAGGCTAGCTACCAGCTATTAACATGATTACCAATACATTCTGTAGTTCAGGGGTTTTGGAGTTGGGCCAGTGAAGATGCATAAACCTCCAAACCCAATCCAGACCCTAGAATGTATTGTTGAGCCCTCAATCTCAAGTATGAGCATACGGGTTTACAAGGTAGGTTTGTAGGGCCTACTACTATCCCTAAACCCTAAACCCTACACCCTAAACCCTAAACCCTAGCATGAGGGCGCCTGCCCTGTGGACGACGCGGCCCTCCTGCAGCTCAGTGGCCACGATGCTTTCCAAGGCGAGTGTTTTTGTTTCTGCGAGGGTTAAGATTCAAGTTTTGAGTTTCGAGTCTAGTCTAGAGCTTTTGTATGTTTTGCGGTTTGTGTAGCGGTTTAGTTTAGGTTCATCGCCTAGCAAACGTTGATTGGTCCAAATATCTCGCCAGGTTCTTATACGCCAGCGGGGATATACTCAGGGATCCCGTTTGCATGTCCCGCAAGAAGGATCCTATGAATCATCCAGAGTCTCACACGAGAGTCCCTTATGTTCTAGAAGTTGCTCCGTTTTGGCTTCACGGTCTTGAGCTCCCTCGCGGCAAAGGAAAGGAAGGGTTCCGGTATGGACTTTCCGACTGGTTCTAAGACTCTAGGGACCCTTAGGTTTTATAGGGCCTGAGATTTTACTAATTACGCTTTAGAGCTTTTAGGGTTCCATGTTACCTTAGGTTATGTAGGCCCGTACCTTACGAATCCCAAATTACATCCATATCAAAGACAGCGAAAGCCTTCGAAGCAGCCCCTTTAACAAGCGCGATCTCCAGATTTATAGAACAACGACCAGGCAGGGCTACATGCGTTGCGCAGTATGGCCGTGCGGTGAACAAGGTCTTCCCAGGCAGCTCTCTTGGGATATTTTGGCTTTCTCTTTGCAGGACCCTGCCGTATGACCTTATCAAGAAGCTAAAGGCTAAAGGCTGCGTTTCAAATCAGCGATGTAGTAGCTAATTGAAAGTCTGCGTCTCACACCCTTCTGGATTATCGTTGAGACGAACATTGGACGGTATGAGTAAGCCACCAACAGCATGTGACTCAGAAGCAAAGCTCCTCCTGCAAAGCCCGAAACCCAGCTCCTAAACCCTAAACCCTAAACCCTAAACCCAAACTTTAATTGCTGCAAAACCTGAACGTAAGGTGGACTACGATTAGTACATCCCCAAACCCTGTACTTAGAATTATCCAGGCCTCTCTATCGTAGAAGTCTCATAGATCCCGTGTGGCTCGCCAAAAGTATCCTTTATGGAAGCTCATGCCATAAACCACCCAAGCCCCTTACCCTGAACCCTTGAGGGGTTTAGGATTTAAGGTTAAGGATTGAACCGTGAACCCTAAACCCTGAACCCGAAGCTCGGGAGGTTTCGCCAAGCACTTGAAGTTGCGTCATTGGGGCGGCCAGGGGAAGGCTGGCACACCACTGGATGTACAAGCGGCTATACGGTTTAGAGGTTGGATTTTCTTGTCTTCTCCAGGGTACCAGGTCTGCTTTGAGCGGCGCTGTGGGGCTGTGGGAGACCGTCAGCGAGTTATCAAGTCCCTGCATCCCACACCCCGTCCGTTGATTCGGCCCCAAACCCCGATCCCTAAGCCCGAAACCCATCTAAAAGTTTTTTCTAGATAGATCTTTATTAGAGGAACCCTGACAGGACCCCGCAGAAGGAACCTTTAACATAAACCCAATCCCCCCCAAAAAAAGCGACCCGGGACAGTCGCCCTATATGCCCTAAGCCCGTGTAAGCCCTAAGCCCTACAAGCCCTAAGTCCTGTGTGTTACATGTCGTACAGCCTAAGCCTACTAAGCCCTAAACCCTAAACCGTAACCCCCAAGCCCGACAAGCCCTAAACCCTCAGCCCTAAGCCCTACAAGCACTAAGCCCCTAAACCTAAACCTTAAAACCCTATGCCCTAAGCCTTAAAACCCACAACCCAAGGCTCGATAAGCACTAAACCCTAAACCTTACTTGGAGGATCTTGGGACTTAGTATGTAGGGTTATAAGTACCTTAATTGGGGCTATAAGTAATCATAAGTACAGTTACCTTATTTATATCGTCAGTTACTAAGTCCCATGATCCTTTAAGTAAAGCCCTGAGCCCTAAACCCTAAACCCTAAAACCCTAAACCCTGAACCCTAACCCCTAAAACCCTAAACCCTAAACCTTAAAGCCTTGAGCCCTAAACCCTAAACCTTAAAGCCCTGAGCCATAAAGGCCCCAGAAGTCCAGCCCCAAGTCGGGAGGCCGGTCGCCCGGAGCAGCCGCCGGTACTTGTCGCCGGCTTCGACCTCGCGGGAAGATGGAGCTCCCCGGACGTTTTTTTTTTGGTTTAGGGTTTAGGGTTTACTTGTGTATGTGTTTTTTTAGTTTGTAAGTTGTTTCTATTGAGGGTTTAAAGGGTTAGCATTTTTCACAGGTTTGTTTTATCCTGTTTCTGTAAGTCGAATTGTAGCTTTAAACATGGGGTTGTGTTTCGTTTTAAACGTGCGTGGTTGTCAAAGGGCTTTGTGCATGTGTGAGTATTGGTCATATCAACATCATGATCCTTGTATGCAAACCTGATAAGCCCTTTATGAAAACCCTTGTCAGTTCCTTCAGCAACAGTTGTTGCCTTATACAGAATAAACC